CATGGGCAAGTTTGTTTTTTTGTTTTGAACTTTCCCATTGAGAAAAAAGTGAACCAAAACAAAAAAAGAAAAACCAATACAACGAACGCAGCTGTTTTTCTAAATGTATGTAAATACATTAGAAAAAAACGCGAATGGACATCAAAAGGAACGACAGTACAAAAAGCAAAACGTTTCAGATATACCAAAAATTAAAAAAAAATTGATAGAAATATTTTGCCATAAATATGGAACATCGTAACGAAATTTAAGTGCAATGAGCTTGTCAGCAACATTACTTAGATATTTGTAGAACGGAGTTGATTAACAATTCCCCCGGCAATGCACCACTCACTCCTCTTCCTACTTTTTGTTCCTATTTTTTGTGTTCTTTTTCATGAATTGATAATTTGCAAAATTATTGCAATGCAATAAGTAATGAAATGAGCAAGTCGACGGAAAAAAGTAATTCCTGTGTATGTTTGTGTGAATGTATGCGTGAAGAATGCTTTGCTTTTGGGCATAGTTGAAGAAATAATAAAAAGACACTTCATTAATTTGAAATCAAATCGCTTTAGAGGTGACCACTAGCTTGTTGACTGCTGTATACGTCGCTTATTTTTTTATTTATTATTTGAATGGGCGCTAAATTTACTGGCTGCATGGTCAATAAGATCCGAAACTGAAATGTATACTTTTTATGTTAAGGAATTTATTTAGAAAAAAAATAAGAACATTTATATATCCTGGAGACAAAATACATTGAGTTTGTAGGAAATATTTTGAGATTTGACAGTTTACGTACATTTGAAATAAGACGGTGAACGGAATACTTTGACCGTTTTATTCGCGCAAACTTGTAATTGGCAAAAACGTTTACAATTTTTGGCTTAACTCTAGTTTAGTAAAAACGATCAAATTTTTCTGAAATTTTTTCCAGTTTTATCCTAATTATGGGGATATCTTTTTTTCTTGGGGGTCGTACCCGGTTTTTTGACCCGGAAGTACGGGTACCCAGTTATATCCGTTTCTACGGATCCGGTTAATATAAAAATACCTTGCCATTGAGTGGTGATATGATGCGGTTATCTCAAACCGTTTTGGAGATATAGTAAAAAAACTGGGTTTTGGCCCCAATTTTTTTGGACAACTCCCTAAAATTCGAACTTGGGTCCATTATAGTCCCTCTCCTACACTGACTCAAATGATAGACCACAATTTGCTCTTTCCAAAATGGTGCGATATGGACCCAAGTTCGACTTTTAGGGGGGTTTCAATAAAATCGGGATCCAAAACCAGTTTTTTGACTGTATCTCCATCATATCACCACTCAATGGAAAGGTATTTTTAAAACCTTTAAAATGATACTCCTAAGAAAAAAATATATTCCCATAATTAGGGTAAAAATACCTACCTCTGGAAAAAATTTCAGAAAAAATCTGATTTCAGAAAGATCTGATTTACTAAACTAGAGTTGTTCCCATGTTTTAATGATCCTACATTTATATTTTGATAGGTCTATTTCAAAAACTGCAGGAATCCAAAAAATTTAAATACGATAACAATTTTAGCATTTAATTTCAATTTATTATGATTAAAATCATGGTATAATAAGGAAGGTAGTCTCGTGCCCTCATGTTTCAAAATGTTTTGTCTTCATTGTCAAAAATTATAATTTTGATTTCCTCCTTAGTTAAGTACGGCAAAATAATTGTGAAAATTTGTAAAAGACAGAAAACTGCTAACAAAGATAAAATACTACAATTTATTGAAACGAACAAAATCTTACCACCTCGGTCTTACGCTTTCAGACCCGGAAGAAGTACGACGACCAGCATCAACGATGTCATAAACTCCATACAAATCTTAAAAAAATCCGGAAACCATGTGGTAGGTGCATGTGTCGACGTCGAAAAACCGTTCGATAACACCGATATTTAAAACCTAGGCCGAATTCTGTTTGAAAATGGTTTAAACACTCATATAATAAAATGAATAGTGGATGGAATGAAATATAGAAAACTAGAACTAGGAAAAAACCCAATAATTGTTAAAAATGTATTGCCACAGGGCAGTGGACTCAGCCAAATTCTTTTCAATTTATATACTGATCAATTGCACAAAACATCTTCGGACTGCGCTATAGTGTACCAATTTGCAAACGACTTTTTTATATTATGGTATGCCAAAACATATCTCCAAGCAAGGAATTTACTAGCAATGGAACTAAACCATTTCAGTTCCTGCTGTGCAAATCTTAGTTTAAGTTTTAATATGGAAAAAATAAATACAATTCATTTTTGCAGAAGGCCACGGCAATTAGATATCACCATAAATGGAATCACTCTCAGCCAAACAACCACCATCAAATATTTGGGTGTTTACATCCCATCCAGTGGATCAGCTAAAATACATGTAGACAATGCCGTGGAAAATGTCGACAAAACCTGCAGTTTTCTCCGTATCATAAGCGGCTGCTAATTCGGAGTATCTCCTTTAAAAGCACTACACTTCTACAAGGCGATCGCACGTGCAAAACTAGAATATGGCGCAGCTGCCATGTAATCTTACAAAAACATCGGAAAAAAGGATTAAAACATGTGTAAATGGGTTCCTGCGGAAAGCCCTCCGATTAATTAAATCCACTCCCATACCCATAATCTACCAATTGACAGCAGAATTACCACCCAGCTACAGGTTCCAACTAGCATCCGCCGAAGAGCTTATTAAAGCCAAAGCATACGGCAATCCAAGTATTAGCAATGTTAGGAATTTATCCCCGTACAACACCAGCTATACCCAAGTCCTTGACAAATTTGTTGACATTAAAAATAACGTCGCAGAAACCAACATTATCGCAACATCATTACAAAACCAGACTTCTTCCAAGGGACTGTATTTTAAAAATCGAATGCTAGCTCGGAAACCATCAACCTCCTGGAGAAAATAAACAAACTTCAACTACAAGGGTACAACATTGTCTTCAATGTCAGCCGAAGTTGTAGGTTTTCTTCAAGCACTAATGTTTGTAAAAGAGAAAGCGTTTACTAAAATCGCCGTCCTATCAGACAGCCTCAGTGGTATATAAGGAATCAATTCAAAAAAAAACACAACAATTATTTAATCGACAAATTTTTTGCAAAATGCAAATTCAACTTCTTTGACAATTGAATTACATTACATTCCCGGACATTCAAACATTGCATTGACTGCGGGTCATCTCTATACCTTTCTCTAAAGGCAATAAGATCACAATTTCTAAAAACGACATAAACATAAGGGAGCTAATGAGGATCAGTGGCGAGATCCGAAACTATTGTCTTCCTTGAGACTACTTTCAATAAATATGCCATGGATTGTAATTTGACATGTTTCGTCAGACATAAAATATATACTAAACAAATTGTGTTTATTTGACGTGTTTTTGAAATTTCGCGTTTTCTGCTATTCCTTCAAAAGAGAGTAAAAACTGTAATCAGTCGGTAGTTATATCCTACCTTGTAATAGCTTTTTAATTCATCTCAACATATCGTACCTTGTATTATTGTACAATTATTGTATAGTGTTGTAAAACTATGAAAGTTTTTTTATATTAATGACAAATTTTTTATTATTTGATTGAACCCAGGGTACATGCTCATAAAACTTGTATAACTTTTATTGTGCATTAGAATTTAAACCAGAGACTGTATTTTAAAAATCGAATGCTAGCTCGGAAACCATCAACCTCCTGGAGAAAATAAACAAACTTCAACTACAAGGGTACAACATTGTCTTCAATGTCAGCCGAAGTTGTAGGTTTTCTTCAAACACTAATGTTTGTAAAAGAGAAAGCGTTTATTAAAATCGCCGTCCTATCAGACAGCCTCAGTGGTATATAAGGAATCAATTCAAAAAAAACACAACAATTATTTAATCGACAAATTTTTTGCAAAATGCAAATTCAACTTCTTTGACAATTGAATTACATTACATTCCCGGACATTCAAACATTGCCTATAACGAAACTGTTGCAAAAGCACACTCTCAAAATTAAAAGTCATACAATCTGGCAAGACGGCGGGTCATCTCTATACCTTTCTCTAAAGGCAATAAGATCACAATTTCTAAAAACGACATAAACATAAGGGAGCTAATGAGGATCAGTGGCGAGATCCGAAACTATTGTCTTCCTTGAGACTACTTTCAATAAATATGCCATGGATTGTAATTTGACATGTTTCGTCAGATATAAAAAATATACTAAACAAATTGTGTTTATTTGACGTGTTTTTGAAATTTCGCGTTTTCTGCTATTCCTTCAAAAGAGAGTAAAAACTGTAATCAGTCGGTAGTTATATCCTACCTTGTAATAGCTTTTTAATTCATCTCAACATATCGTACCTTGTATTATTGTACAATTATTGTATAGTGTTGTTAAACTATGAAAGTTTTTTTATATTAATGACAAATTTTTTATTATTTGATTGAACCCAGGGTACATGCTCATAAAACTTGTATAACTTTTATTGTGCATTAGAATTTAAACCAGAGAGCGTCTAAGTCGTTATTTAGAAAGAGTTTAAAATTTTTCAAATATTTCTACTCGCACAATCAGGACTAATCCTTTGTTTTGAATTTGATATTAAAGATGAATGTCAATATTGATTACAGTTTATTTAACATTAAACAATTTATTGATTTTAATGCACTCGTAAATATAAACAAACTAATCGCATAGTTTTTTTTTTCTACAGCTTATATTGATAACAAAAGACAATACCACCGAGCGTTTGTCTAACAGAGTAAAGAAATCAACTTAGATCTTTCAAGGTGAACTTGTCGCGCCTTGCCTGCCATTACCCACAAACATTTTGAAAATTCAATCGAAGACAAAATACAATAATTTTCAATAAGAACAGAGTAGTCGTCATACTCACAACACAATTATAATTTGGTGAAATTTATTGTTTACAAAAAGTGCGGCCGCCAGTTTCGTACTCGCTTCGCACTCCACTTATTTCTTCGTAAACGATTTTAAGTAAATCCATCACTTTGCCGCGTGGACGTCGTTGTAAATCCACCACCTCCGGTAATATGGCCACATCAGGAGGAGGGGGGGCAGCAGCTACAAGTGTTGTAGTTTTGGATCGTGGCAATAACACAACATGTACAATCAATTTGCATGGTAAGTTTACCTATTTATGAATTTCTTATTTTGGGCCATATGTATATAAATACATACATATGTATATGGTTGTTATGTATATTTTATATTACGTGTTCAATATTGAAACTTTTAATTACACACTTCCACTTTTGTTGCGAATTTTGCTGTGATTTGTTTTCGCAACATATTGTCTATTTAAAATTTGTTATACGAATATGAATATTTCTTGGTGATTAATCATTATTAATAATATTTTAGTGTTTTTAGTTTTATTGCGCACACAAAAACCAGACTCCGGTTTTAATTGTACGCTAATTCCTTATTGACTGTTTCACTTATTTATTAAAAATCGGTATTTCGGTACGGTCTGTTCCCTTGAAGAAAAAAATCGAAAACAATTTCGGTCAATAGAATATTATTGCAGGTTATCCAACAAACACGCAACGTTCAATTAATATACCTTACAATGTAAGAAAAAAAAAAAAATTTTTGATCTGCTAAGCATATGTTTTGCCATGGTATAAAAAGGAAGGTAGTCTCATGCACTCATATGTTCAACTTTTTTTTACTGTACCTTCATTGTCAAAAATTATAATTTTCATTTCCTCCTTAGATACGTACTGATGATGGCAAAAGAATAAACTTCTCATAGTGTGAAATATTTAAAAGATCAAAACCAGAAAATTTAATATACGGGGGTTTGGTATTTATAAAGTCCATCTTCGAGCCTCACAGCAAACATAGACCCAGGAGTGACAACCGATCATGACTAAATCATTGTTGTGGATTATGCTAATGGTGGACACCAAAGCGGAATGACACGATTTTCATATCCACAATCATCAATCGCTGTTTTCACGCGAAAAGGCATAAGTCCACTTTTTCTAGACATTGAGATTTTGATACAGACATTCTCAATAGTCTAAGCGCTAAGTCTAGGGACATCATCCCCATCCAAAAACTAAGGGAACTGAAGAGGATCAGTGGCGAGATACGAAACTATAGTACTCCCTGCCCACTAATAAATAGTTTTTTTATAAATACACAAAACTGGGATTACACCTGACAATTTTGCAACACCAATATATAAATGGTATCCCAAATAACCCGCCAACACTACTGAAGTTCCACGACAGAGGGGTCTACGATCCGAAACGACCCGAGTCTTACTCGGCCAACGTCTGTCACCTCAGCCCAGTAAAAGCAATAGGGCTGCTACAACAACAACAACTGAAGTTAATAAGTAACACTAACTGTCCCGCCTTGAGATTTTCTCATTGAAAAGTCTAGAAAGGAGAGGGGAAATATAGCAAATATAAAGAAATGGACTATATAGAATAAGACTTTATATAAAGATTGAATAAAAAAATTATTATAAAATATAATTTATTTCAATATTTTTTAAATATGCCATTCGTCGTATGTAAACGGTTACGGGTTTAAATATAAATTTTATTTGAAAAAGACAAAATCAATTACAGACTTTCTGGGGTTGCCATCATCGATTTCGTTAACCCAGTGGGTTTCAATTGTCAATTCCTTTGCATATATATCAAATAAATCCTCATAAAGTAGGTTAGCCCGGTAAAAGTTCTAAGTTTTAATATATCATTTTTCCTTACCATGGATATAACGAACTAATTTGCTTAGTCCCTACTAGTTCGCTACAACCGTACTTTACTGAATTTTGTTTGGTCCCTACTAGTTCGCGATAACCGTACTTCACTTTACAAACGACTTTCGACAATTTGAATTTTATTTATAAACGCATATAACGCCAAATATGTTTCTTTCAAAATAGGATATTTTATTTTATATCATCAGCATTGACGGAATTAGGGTACTCTTCTAGTTTGGGTTATTTGTATATATATGGACTATATTGCCATATAGGTGCCGAGTTTCATCACTTTATAACTCGGGAATTATTAAAGTACAGTAGATATCGGATATAAGAAACTCAAAAAAAGTCGGAGATTTCTTTCTTATATGCGTTTTTTCTTATATGGAATAATCGGATATAAGAAAGTATAAGCTCGGTGCTTCGAATTAATGAAACATATGTCAATTATCCGGACCACGCAAAACCCGGATAATTGAAATAAACTCACTGCATTTGGCCACTTTCAATTAAGCAGATTTGACTGTATTAACGCTTTTGGTCAATATAATAATCAGCGTAGTTTTAAGTTTTTTCTTATGTTTGAAATTACCAAAAATCATTTGAGTAATACGAAAACAAAATAAAATGGATTTTTTGTATATACAACAGTTATTTCAATTATAGTTTGACTGTATGCAGATTGTACTGTTATGAATTAATCAAATCAATCAAAACATAAGGGTTAGAAAAAATGTGAAATCATGCTTAAACCTACATATAAGCTCTCTGTAAGTAAACGTTATCGACTTACTATGTATATACAGATACGAACATATCTAGACACTTAAATATTCAAACAATTACTGGCAAAATCATCCCACGTATACCGTAAAAGCGACAATGTACAACCAATGAAGCAAAATCAAATATATTTTATTTGGTCAACTATAGGTTTTCATTGCTTTTTATTATGTATTATATTCATTGGTTAGCTGGGATTTTCTTTATATCTCTATACTTCTAAAAATTGTTGACTCAAAAATTTCATGTTACATAGAAAGTCAATATAATCTAAACTGCATATTAACGTTTTAATAGTCAAATGCCATGTATAAACGAATCAATCTCTTAATTGCAAAATCAGATCTCTTTTCTCAAAGCGGGAGATTAATGACGAGGATTACTGCCGTCTATGCGAGGATGAAGAGGAAACGGAAACATTTACTTAAAAAGTTTTTTTTTAAGTTTTAACTTCTAATTCTTCTACTACGCCTTTTGATCACATTGCATTATATGTCTCCGAGTGGAGTGCCTGCTATTTAACAGTTGGCCATCATCAAACCTAACCTATTTAAGCCACATAATAATTGTCATTAAAGAAGTGAGTTGAGATTACTATTAACCAATATGGTTCATGCTATATGCGAAATTTTAACACATTTCTTTTTAGAGTTTACATAGACATTTGTCGGACGTTTGATATTTTGACATATTAACTTTATGTCAATTATTTCCTATTTGGAATACATTGACATACTGCAACTATGCTGCGTTTTATTTGTGGGTGTCGTTACTTATGGTTTATTTTTTGTCATACGTTACACGGGGATAACCTTGTTTAAGTCTCTAAATTACCATTTATTTCTTTTTTTAAATAAACAGTAACTTTAAAATCTTGAGATATGGTATTTGTCAAAACCTATTTTGTTTTTAAATCTGCATTGCTAAAACCATAACCCAACATATTTCCTTTATGTCAGATCGTATTAAGTAAAAAAAATTACATTATTTCAGGGGCAACTGTTGTATCTTGGCGTGTAAATAATCAGGAGCAATTGTTTGTGAGGTAAGTTAAGACAAATGTGATCATGCCTTATATGATCAATATTTTAAATAATAAGTTTGAGTAGATGCAATCCCTGCCTTTTACATTAATTGTAGTTCTATTCTTATTATTTGGGTATTATATTATATTATAATATTGTTTTGAACCGCTTTTAACATCCCTTTTTGAGTTATTTTAATTCAATTTGTAAGAATGAATTTTATATTGATATTTTCTTTTTTTGTTTTACTTAATTTACATTTATAATTTTACTTGTTTTATTATACATGGTAATTATTATTTTGAGTAGTTTTACTTTAAACAAAAATTGTAACATTTAGTACCCATCACCCATCAACTTCGAAATTCACATCACTGTTATATGTATTTTGTATTCTCCATTATACGTTCTTTATCTTGTTGTACATGTCTCATGTTTTACTCTCTTTCAATGTTGTTTTTATGTTCAGTGATGGTTTTTATGAATGAGATTTGCGCGCCTTTATTTAAGTCCACACAAATCGATATTTTTTGCCAATATTATTTTCCAGACAACAAATGTATATACGGATTTCAGCTGAAGGAATGTTTTTTTTTTTTTTTTTGGCGTTTTCTATACTTTGGGAAACAAATGCGGCGCATTGGTCGATTGTACCTTAGTTGGTCATGTTTTTATTCGTAGAATCGTCAATGCGAAGTACATATACATAATTTGGTTTGTTATCCCTACGCTTGCAATCCTGTTTGTTTTTTTTCTATTTGGTTCGTAAAACAGAGCATGTTACGTTGTTGAACTTTTTTTATTTTAGATTTGTGTTTTTTAGATTATGTTGTTTGTTGTTGTGTTTCTGCCTTTCTGGCGCTTTTTTCTCATAGGTTTTTGTATTATACTTTTCGAAGTTTTTTCTCTCTGAAGTTTGTTTTCGCTTCTTTGTTCTGCACGACCCGATGGTTGGTTGTTAGCGATTGTTATGGCTCCACATGACTTTGTATGTGTGTGAATGTTTTATTTCGCTTTTTCATTCGGTGTTTTAGTATTTTTTTTAAACAGCATTCGGGCGCCTTTTTTGCTTTCTCCTTTACTAACGGCAAAATCTAGTGGCATGTCTTTACTTTTGATTTTTTTTTTTTTTTTGTGAGTGATCTTTTTCAGAACCCTATATATATGTATATATATATACCAAAATTATGGTGTTAGACTCGTCATTAGAAAGTTACAAAAAATAGGAAAAGTGCTCCTAATGTCGGCATGTACCAGAAATCGAAATCTGTTGTATATACCCTCAAATAACTAAATAATCCTATAACCAAATGTGAAAAAATGCCCTGATTATACTTTACCAACATTGTAACTTACCTTTGTGTAATATTTCCTCAAGCTAAGCTCATTTATTCAGCGGTTTTTTATTTTGTCAATAAGCTTTTTTCAACAACGCCGATAATTTATATTTCTGAAGAAAAAGTTAGTGTATACGTTGACACTTTTGAATTTAAGTTTATACAAAAAATATTTGTAATTATGTCAATAATTTGATGGCGCCCTTAGGAACAAAAAATTGGTGTTATCCAATAGTCGGCATTTGGGAGAAAAATAAACACATTCTCGATAATTTTGACTGAAAATCGGTAAAAATACTAAATAATTACTCTAATGTCTGATTCATCTATAAAAATCTGTATGGGAGGTTTACCACCCTAGTACGAAATGTTTTATTTTTAAATTTCTATAACCTCTGAAGTAGGTATATTACACCTTGTCGATATTTGGATAGTAGTTTCCGAAAGTCGACACCATGTTTTATAATTTAATATTTTAATAAATTAAATGATTTTTTTATACTTGTTCAATACAATGCCGTTGGAAATGGCAGATAGTATAAGATCGATTAAATATATAATTTTTGTTGAATTAAAATTTAGCCGGTAGTTTTATATCCTTAGATAGTACATGGTTATCAAAGTTTAATTCTAAATTTTAATTAATTCTAAATTCTAATTAATAAATCACAAATTCTAATTAATAAATTAAATAAATATTTTATAACACGTCCCGACCATCAAATGTCAAACTGAAACAAATAATATATCGAGCCATATTCGCCAAAAACCGTAACCCTCAAATTTGAAATTTTACAGGAGAAGGTTTTTTTACTAAATTCCTTAAATAAATATTTTATAACACGTCCCGACCATCAAATGTCAAACTGAAACAAATAATATATCGAGCCATATTCGCCAAAAGCCGTAGCCCTCAAATTTGAAATTTTACAGGAGAAGGTTTTTTTTACTAAATTCAGATTTAATAAAGCTATTATTTTGAAATTTAGAACTATAGTTTTGTTTTAAATAGATTTAGTTTTAATAGAATAGATCGATAGGGCTTAACGATTATTTTGGTCGTTATCTTTCGTAAAAAATTTGCAGTTGTTGGTAAAACGAAGTCGCAAATCTACATGGTTCCTATTACATTATTATTGAAAACTGCCAATAAGGCAAGCAATTGTTTATGTGGTTGCCCAAACACTATATTCTTTAACATATAATTGGACGAGACTGCATTCCTAGGTCTACAACATTTTACCTATTTGCGATAAACACATTCATTATTGAAAACATCGGTCTGAAAATCTATACTGCAAACTAAGTTGTATATATATATATATATATATTCCTGCTATTTTCCCTGAGGAAGTTCTAACGCGGAAGGAAGTTCCAACCTCGCATTCCAATATGTTTATATGAGGAGGTGATTTCAACTGCAGACACACCTATTGTGGATGTTCTAGAAACAACAGGTGGGGAAATATGTTATATGACAATCTTCAGCACAATAATTTACAAATTATCAAATCAGACCTCAACATACATACCACCAGACATTGGAAGACGTCCGTCCAATTTAGATATATTTTTAACAAATATCTCTGGTAATATAGCTAGCATAAAAGCCACGAACGATCTGAGCTCTGATCATCTCCCGGTTATCTGCGAAGTCAATTTAAGTGCAAGTACTTGGACCAACTTTTATTACAATTATAATAAAGCTAACTGATCCCGATTTAAAAGCTTTATTAATAACAAACTCTCAACTCCTGAATGCCCTCCGCTGTGTGCTGCTAACCAAATTGATGCGGAAATTAAAACTTTCACTAATATAACTCAAGATGCCGTTGAACATAGTATTCCCAAAAATGTAAGCAGGATCCCAAGGAGATCTATACAAAATTTTATAAAAATATTGATACAGCACAGAAATATATATAAAAGGAATTTTAAAAGATTCAGAGATGTTAGTGATCGTATCTATATGAATCGCCTGAACAAACAAATAAATCGCGAGTTATTGGCTTATAGAAATGAGTCTTGAAATAAAACACTATCTGAATTGGACAATTCATCGAAGCCACTTTGGAAAATTTCTAAAGTTTTGAAGAGGAAAACTCAAAATATACCAACTATATCCCAAAATAATCAATTTTATTATTCCCAGTTGGATAAATGCGGAATAATTGCTACTCATTTCTTAAACAATCACAACATGTCTAATCACTTTAGCAACCCTCTTAAATTTTCCGAGTTTAATAGTACCATTGAAGATAACTAACTCATAAACGTTGCAGAATTGAATACATTTGTTAAAGAGTATAAAAGACAAAATCTCCTGGATTGGACGGTATTAACAACAAATGTTTGAAACACTTACCTATGAAAGTAAGTGTTTTAAACATTTAAATGTCTTACAACCATTTGAAATTCCTACCTTATAAATTCGTATTTTCCTATTGATTGGAAATGTTCCAAAACGATACCATTACTTAAACCAAATAAGTTTCCAGAAAGATTAGTATATTGTCATCATTAAGCAAGATGTTAGAAACTCATATAATCCCTCCTCAACAGTTTGGTTTCAGAAAAGAACATTAAAATTAGGAATATGGACTCCAACAATTTTATTGAGGGAACATTTACGGGAATGGTTATATTGGACATTAAAGCTGCTTTTGACTGTGTTTAGCACAACGGACTTCTTCAAAAATTAAAAAAAAAACTTAATTTTTCCATTGAACTCATTAAAATAATTCAAAATTTTTTATATGGAAGATCTTATAAGGTGTATATCGGAACAACTTCTTCTAAAGTTAGGTATACAAATGCAGGATGTGCCCAATAGATGCACCTCATCTATTTTTGCTGATGACACCTCTATCTTATATTCAGATTTTTATGCAAACGATATACTGGCTAAATTGAAAAATGGCATCCAGGAACTTATTGATTTTTTTCACACATGGAAGAACGAAATTAGTACTTCACAATATTGAAAAACATACAAGGCAAAAGAAAAAGAAAATTAATTATGAAAAAATGAAAGTCCTGACTAAATTTAACAGTTCAGCAAGATAAACTTATTAATATAATTATGGCTCCCCAGCCATAGCATAGAAAAAAAGAATAATAACTAACTCTGGATATTTATTAAAGAATATTATTCTAGGGCCAACGGAGGCGTGGATTTATTAAAGAATATTTTTCAAGGGCCAACTGAGGCGTGGTTTTATTGAAAATTAAAAAAAAATGAATTCAACTGCAGGGCGATAAGCATAAAATATTTTTTTATAAATAAATAAAAATATTAAAAAAACAAAAAGGAACGAGATCAGGAAAGGGAACTATATTAATTAAAGTGTTGGAATTAGTTCCTATCGTTCCTTACTCGGAATAGTTCCAATGAACTAGTTCGTTCCGGAACTACCCAACTCTAGTGTACACCACTTTACAATGACTTAATTTCCACACATTATTGTCAGGGATAACTTTTCATAATAAGTGGAGATACAAAAATATGAATTCTCTCCCAATTTTTTTTAGAAGAGCAATAAGATAATATTCATCAAATCTCAACATTATTTTTTGGAGTTCAACATTTAAGATATATGGATGTTGTACACTTTTTAAATACATACTTTCATTTTTTTCATCACATTTATTGGCAATGTATTTAATTTCTTCATGTCTCAATTTTAAAATAAATCGAATAATTGTGTTTTTACATTTCAGCAAATTGGCCTCTTTTGATGGAAAGAAGGCGATACGTGGCGGTATACCGTTCGTATTCCGTAAGTTTTGATTTTTATTTTTACATACCATTCAATAGACATCCCAAAGGGAGTACGTTCCATGTTAAAAAAAATGGTAAAATAATTGGTCTGTTCCTGAATCTCAAATAATGTAAAATTTGTTTACTTTTACGATAAGAATTTTTCCTTTATGATATCGAGGAAAATAGTAAAAATTAATAGATTATTGCAGTAAGGGAACCTTTATGTTATATTTCAAACTATTGCAAAAGGAGTTTGAGCTGTACCTTATCAGATAAAAAATAATAGTTTTTTTTTTTTTTTGAAAAAACATAAAATAATTTATAGTTTTTGACAGCATGACCCCTTAATTGTTTACAGTAACTGAAGAAGTTAATAATTTAAAATATGCAATATTAATTAAAAATTACCATTTACCCTCGCTCTGAAGTACATTAACCATTCGGGTTTTTCGCAGCTCAATTCGGTCCATGGTCATTTGGGGCTCAACACGGTTTTGCTCGTATTACACGTTGGAATTTAGAACGGCCTCCTGAAAGACTACATAATGGTGACGTAGAGGCAATTTTTTCATTGATGGACAACGAATTTACAAGATCTATGTGGAATTATCAGTAAGATAAACTATAATGCTATACATTTGAATATATAATACTCTCAAATTTCTCTACAGATTTCGTATCACATACCGCTTAATATTACGCGAAAAGGAACTACATTTTCACATTGGCGTGTATAATCCCAGCAAAGAACTAACGATGACATTTAATTTACTACTACACACTTATCTTAAAGTTCCTGATGTTAGACGTTGCCAAATAACTGGATTACATGGATGCACATTTATGGATAAGGTACACTATATCGATAAGAGCGAATATATCGATATATATTTTTGTGTGTTATTGTTTATGTTTTTCTTTAGACACGCAATGATGCATTGTATCAGGAAGGTCGTGAAGTTGTAACCGTCAATGAGTGGACAGATCGGATTTATCAACATACACCCCAAGAACATATTATAACGAATGTTGTATCGGGACGTAAAATGCGCATACATAAGTATAATTTTCCCGATACAGTCATTTGGAATCCTTGGATTGACAAAGCCCGAGAAATTGGAGATTTTGGTGATGACGAATTTCCAAATATGTTATGTGTCGAAGCTGGACATGTTTCTTCACCAGTTATATTGTTGCCAGGAACTGCTTTCGAGGCTAGCCAAATTTTGCAGGTATATTTATATAATTGTACCAAATTTAGTACCATTTAAAACATATTAGTATGAATTTTCGAACTTCCATATACCCCAATTCTACACCCCCAAAGTGATCCAAACTTCAAATTTTAGGATTCCTGCTCTATCGGTTCACTTAGATTTAGTACATTAGTATGAACTTCTAAGACACAGCCCAATCGCGATAAATGATTTCGTAAGATGAGCCCAAAACGAAAAGAATGTATTGTGTGAATCATTCGCGTGCGAATTTTTGCGAAACCTGCGGTACACCGAAATACACATTGGTACCATTTAGTACACATTGGTACAAATTTCCAAAACTGCCTACATAACCCCAATCCTACCCCCAACAATGATCCCAACTGCAAATTTCAGGATACCATTTCTATCGGTCCACCAAAATTCAAATTGTACCAAATTTAGTACACATAGGTATGAATTTCCAAAACTTTCAGGATACCATCTCTATCGGTCCACCAAAATTCAAATTGTTCCAAATTTAATACTATTTAGTACCCATAAGTATGAATTTCCAATCCTACACTCCAAAAGTAATATTATCTCCAAATTTTAGTGTTCCAGCTCTAACGGTTTAACCAAATCAAAATTGTACCAATTATAGTACAATTTAGTATGTAAAAAATGTCCAAAAATACCTACATCTTCTAATCCTATACTCCGGCGGTAATGTAATTTTAAATTTCAGGATTTCTGCTCCATCCGTTTCTCCAAAGTCAAATTGTACCACATTTAGTATTGTTTAGTACCATTTGTGTACATTAGTACACACTTCCAAAACCACCGCTTTATACTGAACTTACTTCTCAACCTTGATTCCCATTACTTAAATTTTTTTTGCACTTTTCGTTACGTTGTAGTACGAATTTCCAAAAACCAAGCCTTATCTGTCACCTTTGAATGTGGATGGACGTTAAGAACATCTGAACTAACAAAATTATGAAGTAGGCAATAGTGACATACGAACAATTTAAAGAATAGCGTTAAATTTCATCATATTCCTTTAAAAAAAAAAAAAACATAAAATTTAATCAGGAAAATCAGCAATTAGTCAAAGTAGACCTGCCTTTGATGAAACCATGTTGATAAGGTGAAATTATTGGCGAAACAAAATAAATAATCCTACGTGATACTAAGAGTTCAAAAAATTTTGCGATGGCACTTAGTTTTGCTATACCCCTATAATTTTGAGCGATATTTCTGCTGCTGGATTTATGTAAGGTAGTAATAAAACTAGATCTCCAGGACATGGGAAAATATCCTGAAGACAGCCAAAGATTAAAAATAGCAGTAAGGGGCTTATATAGTTCATAAGCACAGGTTCTCAATATGTTCGCGGGTACTCCATCAGGTCCTAGGGAGCAACAATATTTAATCGAGCATAGACCCCTTTAAAACTCCATCCTCTGTTAGAAGAAAGTTTGGAAAATTGTTAATTTTGTCAATATTAAAAATATAATTTGAGTTAAAAGTCAATGCGGAGTAAGTGCTTAAAAAAAAAATCTGCAAACATGTTTGCTATTTCAGATGTATCACAGGAGTCTTTACTACCATACCTCATGCAACTAGGAAATTCTCGAACTTTCCTTTTTGAATTAAAAAAATTATAAAAGCTTTTAGGATTGGCGAAAAGATTTTGTCTAATTTTTGAGAGATAATTTGAATAGCATGTTAAGTTCTCAGAATTGTATTTATGCCTAGCTTTAGAATAATTTGTGTAGTTCACAAGAGTATTATATTTTTTAAACTTTTTAAATAATCTACTTTTAACATTACGTAAACTTCTAAGATACGGAGTAGACCAAGCTGGTCCTCTATCCCAACTAACTTTAATAACTGGGACTGCCATTGAGAAGGCATTATTTAACATGGTATAAAAATATGAAACACATGAGTCTAGGTTATTTTAACGTAATAATATTGGATTCTATTATATCTAGAATTTGGTTCCATATATATATATATATATATATATATGGTGGAATTAACTACTTAACATTAACATTTTGTTACAAATACATAATACATATACATACATACCATATCCATTAATGTTGTGATTTATTATTAGATTATCATCGAGGGCAATGTCAGCAGGAAAACCAAGCGGAATCGCTAGCGTTTAAAGAATCGGAACACATTAAGGTGAACCGATTCTTAAAAAAATGAAGCGCATGAAACAAAACAAAGCATCAACAACTTTATATGATCGAAATGCAGTGAAAAAAATTCAAACTATCAACAAATATGGACAGATTGGCTGAAATAAAGATATAATTCCACTTATCAAATAAATTGCTAGCAATACAATTCATACTATATATATAACGAAACATAATTAATTGTTTGATTGACTTCGTATAAAGCAATAGCAAAATATATATTATGTATTATGTATGTATGTACTTTTGAATTTTTATGTTGTATTGATTAATGCGATTTTTGCAGATTAAGAAATATATACATAATTCCATAGGATAAATATAGATAATACATATTAATCAGTAGGGTATTCTTTTAAGTTCTGACTAAACTCAAATATAACTCATTTGTCTGTTTTTTTTTCTGAAAAATTCAAGCAATACGTTGTGTACGTTTTCTTACTATAAATATTATACATGGCTATCAATTCAAATGCCATATAAAATTTGCAGTCAGGTTAGAGTGAATGTTTGAAATATGTTACTTTAGTTTCCAAAAATGTCTTGGGATAATAGTGGTTCTGGTTTAAAAATATACCACTTTTAATATTATTTTTTTATAATCCACGTATATTATAAAATAAAATACATGTAATTTGCCTTTCTAAATAGAAATATATATGATCAACCAATTTGGCATGCCCTACAACACTAGCATAAAATAATTTAAAGTTAAGTAAATGAACGTCAAAATTTGTTTTGTTTATATTTATAAAGAATACCGAACGGTTGTGGTTATTTGCATATATATGGTATATATGCACGTTCAATATAATTTTAATTATCTGTATCACAAATTACATCCTTTTAAATACGTCAGGTGCAAAATGTAATTGTATAACAATAAATTTATTGTTGAAGACTACGAATAATGTTATTTAATATTTTTTTTACTTATAAACATTTTATTAGTTATTGCTTACCTTAACAAAAATGTGTTTTTGCTATAATCAAATCCAAATATTCAACGGAAAATAACATGTGTGATAGTTTTGTTAAAAACTAAATATAATGCACTGCATATTTTCTTTTTCTATATGATGTAACAAAAGATGTATAATCAAAGGCTAATAAATAATAGTAGTAAACATATGTATACGATTTTATTACAAACTACATATTACAATAACAATTTTTAAAATTATACATAACTATATAATATAAAATGGAATATAAACAATGTTGTTCATACTATGTATTTAAGACATACACAAGCTCTTAGAAACACATTGAGAATTTTCACAATGATGTTTGAACTTCGTTAATAAGCACGCATAAATACTAATATTTAATGATGTGTGGTCATAAGTACACACATATAAAACAATATACACAATTTTATTCTGTATTGCATAGAGTAGAGATATACTTATATTCTTTAAGAATTATTGTAAATTTGTCTACTTGCATAAAATTGAAAAATAAAGAAAGAAATAACCAATAGTAAGATAAGTTTGCTTTTTTATTTAATTAATCACCCTTATTCTATTCGCGGATTTTGTCCAAACATACAGAGAGGGTTCCTGATTATAAAGTGATTGTCAGCTTATTTTATGCAAGCAAAAAGAAAATAAATAAGAATTCCAAATATTGTTTTGACTTTTTCATATTTTCTTCAGTTCTACAATAAATGAAACGAACAGTTCTTACGGTAGAAAAATGTATATTCGTACTTAAAAAAACAGAAATAATTCAAGATATATATTCAATGCAAAAATACCAAAATTTATGACATTTATTTTGTGTATGAAAAACAAAACCGACACAGTACATGAATTAAAACCAAAATGCGCTGTTTACATTATATTCGTAACAAACCCCCTATTTGTGCAGATGTTATTGTTGTAATTAACAGTAGATGTGAACAAAATTGTTTGCTTACGCTGGCTCCCCTTATTCTGTACGAACATGGAAGAGCAAAAAACGGGAGCTGTATTTTCGAATTCTCGATAATGGTGGTTGAAAAATGTATTTTTTTCAATATTTTATTTATTGATTTTTCTAGTGGTTTCATTTATTTATTGTTATTTAAAATTTCTAACAATAGAAATTTGAAATGAAGATATTCCCCGTAAAACTTTTTTGTAATTGGAAGGATTTGATTATTGATTGCTTTATTGAGACTTATAATTTTTTCAAGTTATAATGTTTTAACAACAATAACTATAACGAACACTTAAAACTATAATGCTAATACAATTTTTAGAAAAACAAACATTTAAGTCATCTGCTACTATTAAACCATCACAATTTTCTGCAAAATTTAAAACTGATCTAGTAATATGTTCAGTTCGATTTTTCTACAAATGTTGACAAGTGATCCAACATTGAATGTGATTAAGTTTAATCCTCTATGGTGAGTACTCATCTTGAACATCTTTTACCAATTTCAAGCACTCGGCCCTTGCTTGATCCTTTGACATATGTTTGTAATTAGCCATAAATTGTTTTATCCTCTCCTCCAGGGTTAAATCGGGACAGCATAACAGTTTTGCAACCTTTAAAAATTCTGTAACCAAAACAAATTCCACTAGCACCTTTAACACTAGCAAAAGTCCTATTTGTAGTAACTAAGTTTGACGAATTCAACGCACTTGTCACACTTGCAATATTCTGAGATTTCGTAATTTCAGCATTCTTCCTCCTATGAGAAACATATTCTTTATACGCACTACATCCTCAATAATTTGTCGTATGTCCAATCTGTTTGCAGTTGACGCAAAAACCTTTATCATTTGAACCTAATTTACACTCACCAATTTCATGATTTTTGTCGCATTTTAAGCAAGAAAAAGGGCGATTACAGTTTTTTGAAATATGTCCCCATTTCTGGCATCTCCAATACTGGGGTATTTTTATTGACGTCTTCGCTCTTTCCCATGAAACTATTTGGTCAAGAATATTCCTTATGCAGAGGATCTCGTTTATTTTCCGGTTAGGTTTAAGTGTTATTAAAAATAACTCTATCCAATCCATTATTTTGGGAAAACTCCATAGAGAACTTTGAAACTGATTCAACATGTCTGGAACAAAATTATCATTTTTCGACTTAATATCAACGACATCAGCCGTTTAAACTCTTTAGGAATATATGAATAGGATGAAATCTTCTTTTATTTAAGCAATTGCATCATTTCAGCGTGAGTTAAAGCATCTTTTCTGAACAATTTACTTTTCGTTTTGGATTGGTTTTTAATTTTAAATTGAACGTTTTTCGTTTTCAATTGCTCAATAAGACAGCATATATTAAAGTTTTGAAAGAATATATAAACTTTGGATTGTAGATTCAGTTTGTGTTTATGAACATTAGTGTTTACAATTAAATTCGATTATAAATCTAAATCGCCTAATAGGGAAAAACTACAGCTTAACTCTAGTTTAGTAAAAACGATCAGATTTTTCTGAAATTTTTTTCCAGAGGTATGTATTTTTACCCCAATTATGGGGATATCTTTTTTTCTTGGGGGACGTACCCGGTTACCCGGTTATTTGACCCGGATATATCCGGTTCTACGGATCCGGTAATTATAATATGGGTATCATTTTAAAGGTTATAAAAATACCTTTCCATTGAGTGATGATGGGGTTATCTCAAACCATTTTGATTGAGATACAGTCAAAAAACTGGGTTTTGGTCCGCGATTATTTTAAAAAACTCTCTAAAAGTCGAACTTGGGTCCATTATAGTACCTCTCAAACCCATCATCAAATGAAAGACCGCAATGTGTCCTTTCCAAAATGGTGCGATATGTGGCTGTATCTGGTGTGGATCAAAAGATATGGGCCTTAGAACCCTACAAAACCAAGAAAATTCTGTCGCGTAGCCTGTGTTGGTATCTGTCCATAGGAGAAAGTCTTAAATCCTCTATTTAGAAGGAGTTTCTGTCGCGTTAGCCGGTGTTGGCATCTGTCCATAGGAGAAAGTTTTAAATCCCCGGCCGAAGGCCGGTCACCGAAAAAAATTTCTATTTAACAAGAGATTCTGTCGCGTAGCCGGTGTTGGTATCTGTCCATAGGTGATAGCATTAAATCCCCGGCCGAAGGCCGGTCATCCAAAAAAACACCATGCTATTTAAAGGAGATTCTGTCATGTAGAAAGATTTTCCTTGTTTTTATAGGGTTCTAAGGCTCATATCTTTTGATCCACAACAGAAACAGCCACATATCGCACCATTTTGGAAAGGGCAAATCGTGGTCTATCTTTTTAGTCTGGTTTGGAGAGGGACTATAATGGACCCAAGTTCGACTTTTAGGGAGTTTTTCAAAAAAATCGGGGACCTAAACCCAGTTTTTTGACTATATCTCCAAAATGGTTTAAGATAACCTCATCATCACTCAATGGAAAGGTATTTTTATAACCTTTAAAATGATACCCATATTATATTATCCGAGAACCGGATATAACCGGGTACCCGTACCCGAACTTCCGGGTCAAATAACCGGGTACGTCCCCCAAGAATAAAAGATATCCCCATAATTAGGGTAAAAATACCTACCTCTGGAAAAAATTTCAGAAAAATTTGATCGTTTTTACTAAACTAGAGTTGTTCCAAAACTACTTGAACAGTTAACACCACTATCCAATCTGAGACTTGTCAACTTTTTCTTTGCATCTATTTGTACGATCCAATTGACTAACTGAAGCAACATCATTTGGATCTTTTTTTGTTTCCGAATAGGTGTATCAGGAGGCCTCCCCCGGTCTGAGAAACGGAAGGAGGTCCCCATTATTTGCACCCGCGTCAAATGCGTTTTACGTTCTTATTCTTCTCCTATTTCAAAGGTTTCCTTCGGTAAATCAAAAATTAAAATCTGATTTAATTTAATTTTTTGTTGAAATTTGAAATTTATGTTTATAATGTTTTAATTTTCTTGACAGAAAAAGCAAAACCGATACGTTTCACAGTCAGAAATAGTCTGTTTCAGCAAATGAGTGATAGCTATGTCTTGATTTAGATTAGACGA